CTTTAAAATGTCAGCAGGATCCTCATGGTGGCCACGAGGTTGTTGTCCCATCTAGTCTGGAAAGTGCAAAATACTCTGAGGGGGACAATGACTAGCAAAAGGGGATTTGAAAATTACTCCCCACTGAAGTGCTAGTGACTCTGCGAGACTTGGTGGGGTATCAAACATAGGGCCCACGGACCAGATCCGGCCCCTGCACGGCTCTTATCTGGACCGAGAGCAACTGACTTTGTGCTGCTTCCTATTTCTTACATCACAGCTCCTTTTGGCCAGTCTCTCCTATTTCCTGCTTCAGAGGAAAGCAAGCCTTCCTTTGATTGGCTGAGGGCCCCCTCCCTCCCTCCTCTGGGGAGGGAGGGGGAGGGAATGACATCTTGTAGCACTTTTAAGAGGACCAGTAATGTTTTATTCCAGGTATAAGCTTTTGCGTGCAAGCACACTTCTTCAGAAAGAGAGAGAGCGCACACCAGAATGAGTCCTGTGTTTAAGACTAACAACATTTTATTCCAGGTATAAGCTTTTGTGTGCAAGCACATTTCTGAGAGAGAGAGCGCGCACCATGGCACATGGAGAGATCCCCCTTTTCCAGTTCTAACAGATTTGGAGTGGGGGGAAGAAACCTAGCAGTACAGTTTGCATTCCTTATTAGTGAAAGGGAGCAAGAATCCAGCAGCACCTTAATGACTAAAAAATTTGTGGCAGGGCATGAGCTTTCATGAATCACTGCTCACTCCTTCAGATACAGTTGGAATGTGAGTCCATTTGTCCTTATATCTTGGAGGGTGAAGTGATTTCAGACACCAAATGACAATAGCAGGCATTGGTAATGAAAACAGGAAACCTAGGTCTCAATTCAGTCCGAGAGTTTGCATTGCTTTGAGCTTCATGATCCGTTGCAATTCAGCAGTCTTTCTTTCTAATCTCCCTTTGAAATTCCTTTGTAAGAGAACTGCTACTCTTAGGTCAGCAACTGAATGCCCTGGAAGGTTCAAACATTCCCTCACTGGTTTCTGAATGTTATAGTTTCTAATAGCAGTAGAAAGAGTAGGAGTCCAGTAGCACCTTTAAAGACTAATAAAACTGTGGTAGGGCAAGTGCTTTTGTGAGTCACTGCTCACTTTTTCAGACTTATTTCCATTTATTCTTTGCATCCTCCTGGACTGAATCCTCCTGTACCAAACTGAGACCTAGGTTTCCTGTCTCACTACCAATGCTGATATCCCCAAAACTCTGCATATCACACCTAATCCAATCACACCTGCTATTGCCATTCGGCATCTGAAATCATCTTTATAGATTTCCAGTACCTCGTGTTCCATTTTATGGCACACATGGCCCGGCCCAACAAAGTGACATTTATGTCAGATCCAGCCCTCATAACAAATGAGTTCGACACCTCTGCATTACCCCATGCTGGGAGGCAGTGAATGTTGTCACCCAGTATTTTAAGGGACTGGAGAGCAAACAACAATCAAGCTGTGGATCGGGTTCAAAAGCCAAACTGAAAATAGATGCACAGCATGTCCTGGTTGGGGTTTCATGCCCACTAAAAGAGCAGACAGTCTGGGAGGACTCCAGGACTGCTCTCTGAACTTGTATAGGCACATGGCAAATATTTTTCAGGCGCCGGTCACAATGCATTGTTCAGACTGGGCTGTTATGAACACTCCACAGAGGGGCTGCCTTTGAAGACGGTGAGGAAACTTCAACTGGTCCAGAATGCAGCAAACAGAACACCATGGTTTTCAGTTGAACTATGCCCCCACCCCCGAAATTTGGAATCCATTTTTGTTGTTGTTCAGTCGCACAGTCGAGTCCGACTCTTCGCGACCCCATGGACAAGATCACGCCAGGTCCTCCTGTCTTCCGCCGTCCTCCGAAGCCCGCTCAATTTCATGTTCGTTGCATCCATGACACTGTCTAACCATCTCATCCTTTGCCGTCCCCGTCTTCTTTGACCTTCAATCTTTCCCAGCATCAGGGTCTTCTCCAGTGAGTGCTCCCTTCTCATTTGGTGGCCAAAGTATTTGAGCTTCAGTTTCATTATCTGGCCTTCCAGGGATTGATTTCTTTTAGGATTGAGTGATTTGATCCATACTTTGCCTGTAATGGAAACCCCCAATTTACTGCAAACCCCCCAAAATGATTGTGTGTGGGGGGGTAGCGACTTCACCAATAAGGCTGAGACTTTTTCTCACAGCAGCAAGCCAGTTTACCAATTACCTCTGAACCAAGCCAGTTTGTCCTTCATAACGGCCAATTGTTTTTTTTTAAAAAAAGGTAAATGTCCCCAACAATAATGCTCTTCTGCAGCTTCATCCACCTCAGTGTAGTTCTCAAATAGGTCAGTGATCAAACTAACAAAATCCAAGAAACAATGTTAAAAAAAAAAAGTCCCAAGAGGAGTGTGCTTATTTTTCTAAATAAGTCTAAAATTTTTATTCATTACCCTACCTTTAAAAACAAGTTTGGATTACAAGTGTATGAACAATATAAAAAAGTATAAAAAACAGGTTCCATAGATTTCTACTACATTAATACAAAGTGCATAACTACATACAATTCATCTTGCATTACTACACTGGGAGGAGAAGGGGGGGGGAAGCAGTCTGCCGCTGAGGTCTAGTAATAAATAAATAAATACAGAAATGGAAGAGATGAAGGAATCATACACATCGCATCATACTGTAGTTGTAAAAGGTAACAGAGCCAATGACCCTTAGAATTCTAAGACAAATGTAAGCCAACGGCAGAGACAACAAATCGTCCAGGGCTTTTGTCTGCATCCTTTAGCAGTTACCAACCAAGCAAGACTGCCACGTAGCTAGTCAGTTGCACATGAAAGGTCTATTTGATCCTCCCTTTAGAATATTTCTCCTATTTACAAAGGGGGGGGGGAGACACACACAAGACATGGGGGGGGACACACACAAGACATTAGTGGGGACCCTATAAAATAACACAACGTAGGAAGACAAGCAGTCCAAGATCTTTTTCCCTGACAACAGCAGCTTAGATTTCATTGTTCCAACAGAAGTAAAACAAAACTTGTATGTGTACTGCAAATTATCACCCCCCCAAACAGAGTCTAAACCCACACTAATTAAACAAAATTACAAAGTCTGTATGAGTGAAAAGGTATCCTACTCAGCTTCAGAGGACGGATTGCAACCCACAAAACTTCTCAGTGGCACTGCTGTCTCCTGTCCTCTCCCCTGGTGCATGCAAAATAAGCCCAGCCCCCCCAAATGATAAAACAGGCACAACCTATTGTACCGTCTAAACAAACTCTCGGGCATTTATTCCGATTTTGGAAATCTCGATTTCAAACAAAAATAATCTCTTAGGTTTGCCAGATGGCATGTGGGACTGCCAGGCACTAGAACGGCCGTGCTTTAAAACTCACTTTCCCCTCTAAAAGCACGGACAAATCTAGGGCCTCACAGGTAGAGGCCCATGTTGTCACAGGGGCTAGCAGACTCGCTGAAGATCCGTCTTTAGAGAAATCTGAGTGTTTGGCTCTCAGGGTGTTTCAGTTCCAACTGCTATGCGACACCACACTAGAACCACCACACCTAGCTGGAACCTGGGTCCGTAGGCCACTAGCCAGGGGCTGCTCAGAACCGCTGCAAAAAGACTTAAGCAGCGGCAAATATAGAAGGAACAGAGTTAACGGGGCAGCTCTGTGTTTCAAGACTGAGCATTAGACTAAGCCAGGGACTGAAGGCACTTCTGGGAGATGTGGAGGTGAGAAAGGGGTGGGCTGGGGGGGGCAGTGGTATTTGGGCACCGGGTGGTGCAGCAGGCAGGACAAAAGGCCAGTGGGGGGAAAGGTAGGAGTTTACTGTCGCCTGTGATGACTCAGAGGACACGTAAACTGTTTTGATGCATTTTGTAAATCTGGAAGAGCAAATGCCATCCAGTGGTAAAGGCAGCCCTAAAAGTAGTGATGAAGAAATGCCCCAGATACTTGGGCACGCATTCATAGAGGGAATGTGTTATAAGAAACAGACATCCTTTCTCACACTGCTACGTGCAGTGTACCCCTAAATCTAATTCTGCTTAGATCCTGCTTCATAGTGGGGGTCGGGACAATCATTACTCCAATGTTCTTCTCTGGGATAAGTCAACACACAGTGTAGAAAGACGACAGGAATCTTCCTCCTGAGTTTTTTTTATAGCATGTGTATCTACAGCTCACTGTCGTAGTTTTGAATTCAACCGTTGGAAATGGGACGTCAAAGCAACAGGCTACCTGAAACGGTCTTGCCAGTCGTGGAGACTGCTATTCCCACTCTGGGCTTGACAGTTAATTTCCATGCAATTATTTATCAAGCTGTGAAACTACACGGTTGTTGCTATTTACATACTTATTTCTGATTAAGCACTTTATCAATTCAAGAAATACCTATTCGGTTGTGGGGGGGGAGAAGGGCCTGTCGTTTACTGGGAGTTCATTGTATCTCACGGCAATCCCACATACGTGGCCAAAACTATGTTTGTAGAGGGCGTAAAGATCATAAACTACCCCCGCCCCCTTTCCTTGTAACTGTATGCTGTCCTCTTAATGCAGAAGAAGAAGAAGAGATTGGATTTATACCCCGCCCTTCACTTCGAGTCTCAGAGTGGCTTACAAACTCCTTTCCCTTCCCCTCCCCACAACAGACACCCTGTGAGGTGGGTGGGGCTGAGAGAGCTCTGACACAAACTGCTCTTTCAGGAACAGCTGTGCCAGAGCTTGTGACTGACCCAAGGTCACATCAGCAGGTGCAAGTGGAGGAGTGGGGAATCAAACCCGGTTCTCCCAGATTAGAGTCCGCACACTTAACCACTACACCAAACTGAAATGATACATGTGCTGCACACAGGAGGAGGAAGGTCACTCAGTTTGGGACCACGTCATGTCCCCTTGCTATGACCGACCTCGGAACCTGTGAACACAACCAGAGACTGATTATGTCCTCAGTCCTGCTAGGCCAGCTGCCTCAACCAGTGGCCCTGTCGTTCAGGAAATGTAAAATGCTTTATCATGGCGGAATCCATAGTAATAAAAATGTGGCGCTCCCTATCTTCCCAAGATATACATATATTAGGAAAGTCTTACACACAGTGGACAAACTTCTGTGCCCAAATCCATGCTCTAAGAGTTGCAACTGTTCAAAAATTATTTCCCACAGAGGAAAAGAAAAGGTTACTGGCTATTTTAAACATACATAATGCAAACTCTGCTGTCTGGACAGAAATGTACATTACATACAAATTTTAATTGTACAACACAACCACACCCTGTGGTCATTAGCCGCGGAACAGTTGCATGGCTGAACTGAGAGGTCTTTGCAGCAGCGTTCGGCTTAACTATGTGTTGCAAATCATCTTAAATATTATTTACAGTCTTTTCAGAAGTGATATGAACAGATTTCTGACTTAGTGGAAGTGAAGCGATTAAAAAGAGAGACCCAATAAAACCCTCAAAGCAGTTCAAGATGAGAGAAAAAAATAGTGACGTCTTTTGGCAGCATAGGAGGCCTCCAAAGTGAGCCGGGGGTCACCTTCAAGCCTTTCCAGAGAGAAAGAGATTCCGTTTTGTACCACCCGCAATTACGCATGGAAGTCACCACGCTTCCTGGTTGGCGATGGGTGGGGACTGGGGGCCCTGGGGCTCAGGCTTCTCAGCGGTGGACTTTTTGTTACTGCAGCAGGGTTTGAAGAGGTGAGTGTCTATGAGGACTTCTCCAAAGCGGCCTTTGTAAATGATTCCGCAGCACACTTTCTGCCTTCAAAAGAAAACAAAAGCGCATTAGGTAGGACCGCCTGGGCACACAGAATCGCACAGGTCGTAACATTACAGCCGTGTGAAGTGAGGACTCAAGCGGACAGCAGATGGCTGAGCGTGGGATCAGAAGGGATTTCAGGTGGAGCTTCTGACTTGTGCAGCACTCAGTTCTGGCCGAAGAAGGGGCAACCCGCAAGGAATCCTCCTGAAGGTATGCTACGGCGGGTCAGCTGACCTCGACAGACGTTTCCCAGAGCAAAGCAAATAGGAGATCCTGTTCCTCTTCTGCTCTTGGTGTGCAGCATTGTCATCTTATCCTACCGCCCACCCTGACACGAGGCAGCAGCCCCATAGCTAGACGATTTTCGGTGGGGGGCATGACACCACTTCTGACATCACCAATAAAATAAAATAAAAACAGCGCGCTCCTCTAGCCCTCCCTGGCTGCCTGGGGGGGGAGGGGAGGGGGACGAGAGGTGCCACTGGAAGAACAGAGAGGCTCCCCTCATTCTTCCAGCTCTTCACTGAACTGCGCGATCTCCCCGAGGTGCAGCTGCTCCCCTCAAATCAAATCAAAATGCTTGTCTATCTGCTGACTGGCAGCCCTAACGGAGCCAGGCGGGCAAGCATGTTTTAGAGACACCGGCTGGGTCGCAGCGGCAAAGCTTCACCTGTTGCTCTGCAGAAGGTGCCTGAGCAGCTTTGGGGGAGACCAGCCCCCTCCCCCCCGTGTCAAACCAGTAGAGCCAGTCCCAAGGGTGCCAAGAGGGAGTGCTGTAGGCCCAGTTGAGGAAGGCGGCAGACTACAGTTCCCGTGGAGTTGGTGGGGCACACAGGCACAGTGGCAAGTGGTACCTTTTGGGGAGGGGTGGTGTCAGCCACTGGTGGCTGTGGGCAGCAGCAGTGCTTGTGAGCTCCCCATTCAGGCTCAGCTGCAGCAGCTGAACCACCTCACCTGCCTCTGTGCTTGGTGTGGTCACCCTGTCCCCGCAGGATACTGACTGCAAAATACCCATTTTCTCTTAAGCTTCCCAGAAGGAAAACTCAATTTCGAGATGCTTCAATCATTTCCACACAGGTCACACCCTGAGCATTCAGTTACAAAACAACATCATATCTGTAGTTAAAACTTATGTTGACAGTTCTTTTAATGGTATCTTTTTGCCCGGTGTAGTTAGGGTGAGCTAGCTCACAGTCTTTTAGCCTCCGGCTCACAGGATTTGGCTCGGCTCAGGAAGGACGGCTCCAGAGCAAACTAATTTATGCAGTAGCCAAACTGCTTGCTCACAACTTTAATGCCAGTAGCTCACAAAGTAGAAATTTTGCTCACAAGACTCCACAGCTTAGAGAGAGTACTGTTGGGGGCCACAGAAAATTCGGAAGGGGGCATCGCCCCACCTTCCCTATGCTAGGTAAGGCCCTGCAAGACAAGCCTGACTGGTCAAGAAGTTATGCTACAGTGACATTTGATGGAGGCAAATAGCATATTTGTTCATGCCAACCAGGGGTTTACAAGGAGGTGGTGGGCATGCCAAAAAGGACATTTTCATGTTGGCACACCACAGAAAACGAATGCTGGAAATACTGACTGCAAAATACCCATTTTCTCTTCAGCTTCCCAGAAGGAAAACTCAGTTTTGAGATGCTTCAATCATTTCCACACAGGTCGCGCCCTGAGATTAGTTACAAAACAACATCGTATCTGTAGTTAAAACTTATGTTGACAGTTCTTTTAATGGTATCTTTTTGCCCGGTGTATTTGAACATACCCAACTTGGTGCTTTCCTTGGCTGATGTGTGCAGATGTGTAACCAGAAAAACCTGCCAGACAAATCTCCCCCCCCCACCCCGGAAATCGGTGCAATGGGCAGCTAAACCCTGGAACCAGGTATCCTACTCAGCTTCAGAGGACGGATGCGACCCACAAAACTTCTCAGGGGCACTGCTGTCACCTGTCCTCTCCCCTGGTGCATGCAAAGTAAGCCCAGCCAGCTTAGAGGGAGCATTGGTGGGGGCCACTGAAAATTCAGAAGGGGGCATCGCCCCATCTTCCCTACGCTAGGTATGGCCCTGCAAGACAGGCCTGACTGGTCAAGAAGTTATGCTATCGCGACATTTGATGGAGGCAAACAGCATATTTGTTCATGCCAACCAGGGGTTTACAAGGAGGTGGTGGGCATGCCAAAAAGGACATTTTCATGTTGGCACACCACAGAAAACGAATGCTGGAAATACTGACTGCAAAATACCCATTTTCTCTTCAGCTTCCCAGAAGGAAAACTCAGTTTTGAGATGCTTCAATCATTTCCACACAGGTCGCGCCCTGAGATTAGTTACAAAACAACATCGTTAACCACTACACCGAACTGGCTCTCAGGGTGTTTCAGTTCCAACTGCAATGCGACACCACACTAGAACCACCACAGCTAGCTGGAACCTGGGTCCGTATGCCACTAGCTGGGGGCTGCTCAGAACTGCTGCAAGCATTCCCACCAGAAATAGCAGAATTGCTGACTGTTACACAGCAGATGGGCCATGCGGAGGGCGATTTGTGTGCTCACAGCAGCATCCTGGAAAGCTGCACAGTCCTCCGTGCAAATTCTGTGCTTTCTGACATGACCAATGGCGGGTTCCTGGACTTCCAGCACTCAGCTCAGGTATGCATCAGGACAGGTACCCTTCCTGGGCTACACAGGCATTTTAGCTGACTCCAAGTCCAGTGCAGGTAGCTTATCTTGAAGCCAGACTTAATGCACGTCAGTATGACTGCTGGCTATTGCCACGGCATCTACCATCAATCCAAGATGTATTTATACTAGGGTGGAAACAGCCCCAGCAATATGGCTTTGTTTTTCGAGAGAACATGAAGCCCTGTGACCCAATTCATGCTCAGCATGCGATCCAGTTATTTCATCTATTGACATCCTTAAATGCCACGCTGAGTCATCCGCTGCCTGCAGCTTGGCTCTCTAATTGCAGAGAGAACGGAAGCAAGGGAGCCTTGTAATTAAGAAGACGCTCTACAGCCCTTCTAAGTGTGTTTGTTTCTAACCCCCATCTAGCATTCCACTGCCTCCATCTACTTTGTCTATATCTAGGATTGCAACCTGCTTCTGAAGAAGGCCCTGCTTTTTGGTTTTGGAAAAACTCACAATTTTATGACTGCACAGCACTGCCCAAGCTCAGTAAGAGCTTGGAAGCGAAGCAGGATCGGCCCTGGTTAGTACTTGGATGGGAGAGCACCGAGGAAGCTGAGGGCTGCTACGCAGAGGCAGGCAAGGGCAGACCACCTCTGAACGTCTCTTGCCCCGAGAACCCCACGAGGGCACGTTATTATAATGACACGACTCGATGGCACGTTATTATAATGGCACATTATTATTATTATATTTATTATCACGGCCCAAGTTCACTGCTGGCATTCTACTAATAATGAATTAGCAATACTAATAATCAGACGATGCACAGGGATTTTAAAAGATTGCCTTTACCTTTTCCAGTAGGTGAGATCTAAGAAGGAGAAGACAGGTGTGCGGCTAGAGCCCGGAGGCATCTCAGCATCTGAGCCGTCATCTGACTGGTTGCTGTAGCAGGGCGACTGGGCCGGAGAGGCGCTTGAGGTGCTGCTGTGGGCATCAGAGTCTAGAAGAGTATAGTGGGTTAGACAAGCAGTGACCCTGGGTCTCCTCCCCATCCGACCTCCTAATGCCCGAGTCTCACAGAAGTATGCTCTGGAAAAAAAGCCCTGACTTCCTACCGAATCACTAACTTTCTAAGAGATTCCAGAGTGGGGCAGGCCGCCTCCGATGGAGCAGGGCCTCCACCTGGTTTTGGAGCTTGGATAAGGCCACAGGCCCCCCCCCCGACTAAGGTTTGAGGAAGGAGGGAGGAAGGATAGCACGAAAGACAGAAGCACCAGAGATCTGAGTAGAAAAGAAGCAAAGTGGAGTGGAGATGGCTCAGTAGAGCAGGCTCACAATGTCCTATCTGCTTGCCAGTCAGGGCCAAACTGGGAATCAGAAAATAAGCCCCTCCAAGTGAAGTTGGGGGGAGAAAGCTCAGGGTCCTGCCAACAGCCTGGAGGAGGGGCTGCTTCTTCCTGTTTCTGGCTCTGAGGGTAGTTGAGGAAAATACAGGGAAAGCTTCAACAGCATGCTGAAGCCACAAAGCGAGCCCTCTCATAGCTACCAATGGGGCGTCAAGGCCCGACACAACTCCCAGTTTTACCTCACAGTTCTTAAGTGTCTGTTCCTCTGCCCTGACACCTTGAACCTACACATATTAGATAAAACCTGTAACTTATCTAATGCTACTAGTATCTGGTTTTTCCTTCAAGGAACTCAGGGTGACGTTAATAGGACTATCCCATTTCTGTCCTCACAACAAGGGGAGTGTGAAGTTCGTGGGGATATTGTTGCATGTGCACGATGACCAAGCAAACAGCAGCTGTGTGTCTTTGAGGTGCTTATAATAAACTATAACAAATGTTTTTTAAAAAACCTACTTCAAGGCTACAAGCTTGGCTAGACTTTGTTTGGCTGGATTTGTGCTGATTAGATGACATTTAAACAAACTGTGCTAACAGCTTAAGCTAGTGGAACTGTGCCAGCGGCATTATAATTTAGAGTCCTCCAGCCAGACTACAAACAGAAAATAATGCAAGACACAAGTGCAGCAATTAAAATATATGCTGTAGGAATTACCAGACAGCCTGATTTAAGAAAGTCCTTGTAGCTAAATTTAAAGTCAGCGTTAGCAAGAGACAGGCGGTGCACGCCTGACTTCCAAGAGGTTCGACTATCATCTTCTCTCAGGGACTTCTCTTCTGCAAGTTGTAGCTACTCAGGATTTGGTGCCTCTACATCACGTACAGGTAACCACTGGTAAATGGCCAGATTTGTTGGGTGCAGAAATCAACCTACTGTGTCGTTTCAACTCCTTCTGCAGTTTGTTGATTTGGCTGCTCTTCATTCTGGTCCCAGAGAGTGTTTTCATCTTCTTTGGCTTCAGTGTCGTTTTAAGACTCGGTCCAGCTCTTATATCCACCACCTGAAAGATAGTCCCAGAAACATCATCATTCCATCTGGCACCAGTTTCTGCACTGTGCTTATAGAGATGCAACCAGCAGACCAACCTCCCTGCTGGGGTCCACCTGGCCCCAGGTTAAGACCTCCCTCTTTGCGGAGGCCTTTAAAGGCCTCCCTGGTTATGCAGAGGTCCGAGATGATTAGCCAGGTGTCTGTCTTTCACTTTGGGTCAAATCTTTTTCGGCCAGGTCTGTTGCTTTCTAATGTGTTTTTTTATGTTATTTTAAATAAATTGTTGATGTTTGATGATTTTATTTATTGTATCCTATTGTTTTATATTTGTTGTAAACTGTCCAGAGAGCTCCAGCTACAAGTGGTATATAAATGGAAATAATAACAATCTGTTTTGCTACTGTTTATGCTTTCCTCTGGTGCAGAGTCTTGGCCTAATGCCAGAGCCCCTCGGCACCAAGGGAAGGATCCTTGCTCCAAAAGGTGTTCTTAAATGAATTAAGCCACAAGATCCAACACTGTCATCTAACCCTACTGGCAAACGAGGCTTAGTTCAAAGGTCCCCCAGTTTAAACTGGAAACACTCTGTATCGGGAAAGCAGTCCTACTGATTTGTACTTAAATACCAGGGCCACAAGCACTCTGCACTACAAAAAAAAACAAACCTTGAACACTCCCAAGGTTTTGCATCAAGGTCATCCAAACTTTGTTCACAGAAAAACTCAATTCAGCAACCTGTATTAAACAATTACACATTTTCAGGCTATTATTTGCATAATTTATTCTACCACATTTTTATCCCTGCCCATCTCCAAAGCGCTTGGGCCAGCATCTGTAGTTCTTTCCTTGTTCCATTTTACCTTCACAATCCTGTGAGGCAGGTTAATAGAAGGACTGGAAGAAGAGAGAAGACAGACAACATATACTGTAATTTTTTTTTCAAAAAAAAGAAAAGAAAAAAAAGAAGGAATTGTGTATACTTTATTATAGACAGAATTCAGTTCTTCTTAGGGCACTTTCCACACTCACTGAATAACATACTTTCAATGCACTTTGGATTTTACTGTGTGAACTGACAAATTCTGCTTGCAAATGATCATTAAAGTGTACTTAAAGTGCCTTATTAAAAAAAAGAAAAGAAAACCTTTGCCCTGACCTGGATAGCCCAGGCAAGCCCAATCTCATCAGATCTCGGAAGCTAAGCAAGGCCGACACTGGCAAGTAATTGGAAGGGAGACCTCCAAGGAATGCCAGAGGCAGACAATCATAAGCCACCTCGCTGAAACGTCCAAGCCCTACTAGGGGTCGCCAGAAGTCAACCACAACTTCCAGGCATACATACACAAAAAATACTCACAAAAAAGAAAAAAAAGCGCCTTGTCAGCATGTGTGAAAGTTCAGGATTTTTATATCTACTTTTAGAGTTTTGATATTCTGTGCTGATGATGCTTTTTAAATTTTATGCTAGTATAGGTTGCTTAATTATGGCTTTACTGTTTTCCTTTTGCCTCAGGCAGCATAAAAATGGTAACGGTTCTGTTAACATCCAGACTGACTAAAAGTTCTGATGAATACAGAAGCTGGCACACTGTTTCGTGTCATTTTGGTTGGCTCTAGTAAAAGATACTGTGTCCTCATGTAGGGTTAAGGAGGGATTCCCTGTAGGGCAAGTGTTGTAGCCTCCTCCCCCTTGAATGTTTGCTGCCTGCCAGTCAGGTTTTCGAAGCGGCCTTGACTCCTCATAGTTGGTGAGGAAGGTGGCATAGAAATATTTTAACAAGCCCACCAGTTCCTATCCTGATATCCTGAAAGAATCCCGGCGACTCCAGCCTGGTGAGGGTGGCTGAGGATCCCGTTCGAGATCACTTACCCATCTCATTCCCAGAACTACAGTTCCCAGGGTGCCCTGGGGAAAGAGAAGGATGACGAAACTCTAAGAATGGGATACCAATATGCACTAGACCAGTGATTACCAGCCTTTTCGGTACGGTGACCCATCCAGGGTCGGCCCAAAGTTTTGGGGTGCCTTAGAACGAGGGACTGTCAACTCACATGATTCCAGTTCTTTTTTGATCCTGCCGGCAGCTTTTTCCACCTCTTCACCAGCAGGACACAGGCATTGCATATATCTCCTGAGCGAGCCTCGTGCAGACTGTGAAGAAAAACGCCCTGGTTCAGTAGTTTGGCCTCCGCTAGAGACAGGCACAAATGCAGGAGATGACTTTTGATTTGGTCTTTTTTAAAAAGAGGCTTCACCTGATCATCGAATTTAAGAATAAGCGGAAAGCCTTTTATAATTACTACAGACAAACTACATAGATTAGATAAAGTTGTTAGAGGAGTTAAAGAAATTTATACTGATTAATACTCAAAATCGTATAACCATATTCTTGTCGTTATATTCATTAACCTGTGATAGCTACATATTTGCTAGTTATTATACAATCGTATAAACCTTGTATAAACATTAGAAAAATGTTTTTCTTTATTCTTTTCCTATCTTATATTCCTTGCCTATATGCTTTTTCACCTAGCCCTACAGACAGGAAATAATGGAAATATATATGGAAATATATTATGTTGAAGTATTGATTATATTACCATATTTTGACATGTCATGTTATTTTCTCATGTTTCATATTCTTATATTGTGCAATGTTCTTAAAATGTGTTCAACAAATGATGTTTTATGCGTCTCACTTTCCCTTTTGTCCCTTTAAATGCTAAATATATATATTTTTAAAAGGCTTCACATGTGGCCGGGGAAGCACATTCTACCCATACAGAAGCACAAGCTGTTGGTCAGGCAGCCTGTGGGCACTCGTGTGACATCACTGGTTGAGATCTCATGAAGCGGAAGCCTTTTAGGAAGGCGGGTGCTATGATCAGCTGAACGGTGTGCTTAAGAAGCTTATCAAGCCAAGGCAGAACAGTTCTCTCCCCCCCCCCTTCGATAAAGGCAATATAACAGCTGGCCCTGCAGAAAACTCTTACCCAAAACAGTTCTGGAAGTCCTTCTCGTAGCGCTTGCTGTCGGTGAAGCGGGAACTGGAAGACTTAGCTCTACAAATACAGCAACCCTCTAAGCTCCGGTACATCTTTGGCTTGTGGAATCCAAACATCTTCTGCTTCCTCCTCTGTTACCCTGTAGAGGTCAAACAAACAAAGAGTGAACTTAAAACAAACAGGAAGGACACACTGGAAGGCAGGCAAGAAGCACCCTCCACCACCCTGCGTGCACCTCTGGAAGTACATCAGTTTACAAAGACGCTTGGAAGGACGAGGATAGATTGTCCTTCTCACAATTCTACTCCATCCTCCATGAGGGCAGGGGTCTCAAATGCAGCTCTGCCGATCCCCAGCAGTAGTTTTTTCTTCCCAAGGCAGGAGGCATCATAGCAAATTCAATCCGACAGGCCGCAAGGTGACCCCAAGCTGCCATACTTCACATAAAACGGCTGCCTCACAACTTCAGATCAGATCCGTCACCTCAACTTAATGCAACAGGACATATCCCGCACAAAGGGGGGAATCCGTGGGTTGGATCCAAAGAACCACGAGCAGAAGTCACCAGTTCTTTCCCACACATGGCTAGGAGAATGCGTGTTCAAGACTCCAGGCAGCACTATAATGGCTAGATCCCACAGCAGTTCTTGTGCTACGGCCTGTGCAAGAGACTGCACACAAGTAGAACTTCTTTGGATTGATGTCCATTTGCCGTGCGCACTGCTCCAGCTGGAGGTGTAGCCCCAGTCTGTCTCATAAATGACACCTTTGCAGTGAATGTTAAATGACACCTTTGCATCCAACTCGACATACTGAAACAGCACATTTCTGTGCTATAATTTACCATGCAGCAAAAACACGCAGTGAGAAAAATGGAACAGCATTAAGCCAAACCATGGAGTCCTCCCCAGCGCTCGCCTTTAAATCTCAACCAACCTCAATCTCAAAACCTGCTAGCAGTGATCGTTAATGGTGGGAGGCAGAAGCTCCACCCTCCCAGTTTGACCACAGGTCCCCCCCCCACCCAAACAACATTCCTCTTCATGTGAAATACCATCACAAAAAAGCCGCTTCTATGGACAGAGCTTTCTTACAACAAGGATTCAGCTGTTTGCAAGGGGACAAGTTCATCACCAGCCAGTCATTTAACAAATACCATCTGAACGAGCTGCCCATGTCCGTCCTTGTTTCCATGCTACATTCCCCTTAACTGAAAAGGTGCAGGAATCAATCCTTGTGCCTCAAGAATGCAAAGAATGCACCCTACCACCGAGCTGAGTCTTGTCCCACGTTTAGGACCAGGTCACAGGGGCAGGGGTGGGGGGTCAGACCTGTAGCACTGAGGAAGGGGCAGTGTCCAGGACAAAGTCAGCAAGATGCTTGAGCTGTTTGGCTTGGGGTTTTTTTTTGTTCCCCCTCCTCCTGTGAACCAACGAAAGCTTTCGCCTGGTTTCTGCGACTGATTTTTCATCTATCTGGGAGTAAGTCTGAAGTTATCAGCAGTACTGAAACCTACAAGAGGGTGGCCCACAACCCACCAACCGGGCAATCTCAACCGAAGACTTCAGAAGAAACCTACAAGAGGGTGGCCCACAACCCAACCGGGCAATCTCAAGCGAAGACTTCAGAAGAGCTACGATTTCTCTCTCTCTCTCACACACACACACACACACACACACACACTAAATAACACACTTTCAATCCACTTTGCAACTGCTTTTACTGTGTGAAATGGCAAAATCCACTTGCAAACTGTCACCAAAGTGGATTGAAACTGCATTGTTTATTAGCAAGTGTGGAAAGTGTCCATAGAGTTTGCTGGCCTATGCTGCTTGTGCCCCACTTGACCATGCAGAAGTCACTAACAGCAGCAGCACAGGAGTCTTGGAAACAGGATGCATCCCACTGCAGACTCACCTGTCACTCTTATCGTCCCTCTCTTATTTCAGACTATTCCCCCATTCTTGTTTGTTTATATATACATATACTCTAGGGTTGCGGTGCTCATCTCCGTTTCAAAGCCGAAGAGCCAGCGCTGTCCGAAGACGTTTCCGTGGTCATGTGGCCGGCATGACTCAACACCAAGGCGCACGGAACGCTGTTACCTTCCCACCGAAGTGGTACCTATTTATCTACTTGCAATTTCTTGCTTTTGAACTGCTAGGTTGGCAGAACTTGTAACTGACCCAAGGTCACGCCAGCAGCTGCATGTGGAGGAGTGTGGACTCAAACACAGTTCTCCCAGATTAGAGTCCACACTCCTAGCCACTACACCAAATTGATGGAGATTAAAAACGCAAACAAGATCAAACTATACAACTGGCTTTCCGACAACATGATTGCCAAGCAGCTGTGTGAATTGTTACCAAGAATTCATACAGGACCTAATGTATATCACACTTACCAGGGCTGCCTATGCAAAAATAAATAAATAAATCCCTGCCTCCTATAACTTTACAAACTAAGATAAGTTTCTGCTGTTGAGAGCAGAAGTTACTAACTAAACTACAGCCATAGGAAAAGAAGCCAAGCCATTAAAACAGTTGGAGACACACCTGTGGGGGCCCCTCTTCTTACCATTGCAACCAGAAGTGATGCTGTCACAAGTGCTGGTGACGCTCTAGCATTCAGCTGAAATTCTATGGTTTACCATAAAGTTTTTGCTGAAAGCTAGAGTGTCGCTGGCAATCTCCCCCCATTTCTCTCCCACCGCCCGGTTGAGTGCCAGTGGGAATGGCCAGTATGCGGGCAGCAGATCTCCCGCCAAAGTGTAATGCACACATAAAGCAGCCTAAAATGATACAGATAAAACAGTCCACAGGCCAGAAGCAGACTATAAAATAGCAGAGAGCGCGAGAGAGCACTTCATTAGAAGCATGTTAGAACAAGAATGTTTTAGCACCTAAAGGAAAAGACATGCCCTCCGTTGTGATGATTATCTGGTACCTAAAGAAAAGTAAGGTAGGTGTTATGTGAACATCACAAGGGAAGGACATTCCAAAAGCAAGGTGCCACCACGAAAAAGGCCGTCTCTAAAAGGCAAATGCAATTTTGGGCTGTATCAACAGAAGTATAGTATCCAGATCACACAAAGCGGTGGCATCACTTTCGTCTGCTCTGGTTAGACCGCACCTAGAGTATTGCATTCAGTTTTGGGCACCACCATTTAAGGATATAGACAAGCTGGAACGTGTCCAGAGAATGGCAACAAAGATGGCGAGGGGCCAGGAAATCAAGTCCTATGAGGAAAGGTTGAAGGAGCTGGGTATGTTTGGCCTGGAGAGGAGATGACTGAGAAGTGATATGAGAACCATCTTCAAGTACTTGAAAGGCTGTCATGTAGAGGATGGTGTGGAGTTGTTTCCTGTTGCCCCAGAAGGTCAGACCAGAACCAACGGGTTGAAATTAAGTCAAGAGTTTTCAGCTAAACATCAGGAGGAACTTCCTGACAGTCAGAGCGGTTTCCTCAGTGGAACAGGCTCCCTCGGGAGGTGGTGGGCTCTCCTCCTTTGGAGGTTTTCAGGCAGAGACTAGATGGCCATCTGAGAGCAATGCTGATTCTGTGAACTTACGTAGATCGTGAGAGGGAGGGCAGGCAGGACTGCATCTATGCTTAGTTCTCGTGGCCCTTTCTTACACGGCCAGAGAGATGCTGATCACCGCTTTGGGGTCAGGATACAGTGTTCCCTCTAAGCTGAGTCAGTGTGAGCCAGCTCACAGTTTTTTAGCCTCCAGCTTACACATTTTTGTCTCTGCTCAGGAAGGATGGCTCCAGAGTCCAGAGCAAACTAATTTATGCAGCAGCCAAATTGCTCGCTCACAACTTTAATGCCAGCAGCTCACAAAGTAGAATTTTTGCTCACAAGACTCCACAGCTTAGAGGGAACATTGGTCAGGAAGCAATTTTCTCCAGGTCAGCTTAGCCAGGGATCCTGGAGATTTTTGTTTTGTTTATGGTTTTTTGCCACCTTCTGGGCATGGGGCAGGGGTCACTGGGGTGTGGAGGGGGAGGTATTTGTGAATTTCCTGCATTGTGCAAGGGTTGGACTAGATGACCTGGTGGTCCCTTCCATCTCTATGATTCCATGGTCACCGTCCACCTCACCTCCGCAGGCAGGGACACAAAAAGCAGGGCTTCAGAAGTGGACCCTAACTGGTGGGCTGGACAATACGGGTACAAACGGTCTTTCAAACACTCTGGACACAAGCCATTTAGGGCCTTATAGTCAAGAACCAGCGCTTTGAATCATGTCTGCAAACAGGTGGGGTGCCAAGTGCAGATCTTTCACCACAGGTGTGATATGGTCCCTAAATCCTCAGCAACAGCCAGCAATTTGTTAGGACTTTGCTAGCCCCATGTGCATTCTGGGTGGAGGAAAAGAGAACATTGTCACCCATCTCTTTTAATGACAGGACTACCAAGGCCCAATGCAGATTCAAGATAATCTCTGCGCACTTACTAACTCATTTTGGTGCTACTCATTCCGTAGCCACTATGTCTTTAGTCCTGAGTGTTCCAAACAGCCCCCACCCCGGCCATTCCACCACATGCTCCGAAAGCATCCCAGCACAGGTTGCACGGATGCTACTCTAGAGACAGAGGGATCCAGATGGCAGCCACCTGGCATGCAAATACCTGTAACAGAGAGTTTATATAGACACTCGCACAAGTGTTAGGGATGCCTCGAATTATTCAGATCTATTTCAGCCCACACAGATAACAGCACACATGCAAATCCTTCCAAAACTAGATGCTTTTCTAATTCTAGATTCTGCTGTAAAGGCAATTAACTGCTCCAAATTGAGTATATGAAAAAGCCAGTGTTGCTTAGCATTCCTTGGGGATGGATGAAATTGGCACTGCTTTTCCAACACTGGGAGTACTTAGGAGACACGCCTTCCACTACCCCTAACAAGCCTGCACTGGTAAAAAACAAAAGAGGAGAAAGCAACCTTTCCGGTGTAGAGTAAGAATATTTCACTCTTGGAAACAAGAGATTGGCTTGGTCCCAGAAAGCTCCTGAACATTACAGCCCAAGCACCCATGAACATCAAAGCCAAACCGCAATAAAGATACATTAGGGTTCCTACAGCTGTATGTTTGTGAAGCACCTTTAAATATCCCAAAGGCACCTGATA